TGTTGGCCACCACCTTCAAGATATTTTGCTTCAAACTACATGATTTAAAAGTTTAAAGTATGTTCTTTCATTAGCTAAACATAAATTTCGTCTGTAAACAGTAATTTTTCTTTTATTCGCCTTCAAAAAAAAGGAAGTTTCTGGGCCCCACTCTGTACAAGCCTCAGGCTTGCCTCTGTCTCTTTATCATTGTGTAAAATAAATGTTGCTAACAGTTATGTAAAGACTGCCAGGCAGCAGGGAGAGGTGCCTATGCTTCACTCAGTATTGCAGCCTTAACCTTTGATAAAAACAAACTTTCGTTATTGATAGTATGCATATTCAGTGAAATAATGATTCAATACATAAGAGTGGCTCAGTGGAAGGATTATCTGTGGAAACTGTAGCTAGAGATAGGAATTGTTTTTTTTTACGGTTCTGCCCAATTGTTGCATTTTTGATTATTCAGAATAATGTACAGCTGTGTATTAATAGAAAGCATGATTATTATTAAGTGTACATAACAAAAATTGAAACTATTAGCGAAATTTAGAATGTGATTTCCTAGTTTGTTTCTGGTGGCCGAATCACCCAAACACTGTCCACTGTGTCGTACTTGATAATTCCAAATCTTGCCACAACATGCTTCGTGTTGCCCGGCTAGACAGATACTCACCAGTTTGGCCAAATATTACAGTGTTTTTCTTGTGTTTAAGGCTGGTTCAACAAATGGTACATTACCAAATGGTCACACCACAGGCTCAGAAAAGTCAAATGGTTACATCACAAATGGCTACAGCAATGGTCGAGCAGCAGATTATTATGTAAAGGCATCAACAGCAGATCTTCATCTTAGATCAACAACATCAATAAAAGTGACAGAAGGTGCTTCAACTCTCGAGTAATACCAGGGAATATAGAGAAAGTGGAATTATTCAGTTTATTAGGAGAAAGAACTTTCATAAAAGTAAAAAGATTGTTATTTCTTTTTATTACAAGTTTTTATTTCTTCTGCCTGTAGCTGTTGATATGATAGTGGGAAACGTCCCGCTAACAACTTGGCGCTGGCCGCTGTACGCAGAAGTCTCCACAGCAAATGTTCTTAAAGTTTAATACATCATTGCCAGGGTGTTGCCTGAATAATATGGATATGTATTGTGATATTTTTGGTGTATTGAAATGTATTTCTGAAAAAAAAAAGTACTTGTTAATATAGATAAGTTGATAATTTTCACATACTGAGATACCAGTAAGTTGAACTTTACATTGCCTTTGTCAGGTAAAATTGTAGAATGAATACAGAATCAGAAAGAAAGTCTGTGTATCAGCAAGTAAACTATAGTGCTGCTGTAGTGACATACATAGTACGAACATAGAAGAAGGTATAGATTGCAATATTTGTATAATGCACAAAACCAAATTATTATTAAGGTCCCCCCCCCCACCCCCCAGAATTCAGTGCAGTGAACCTGAATGTGCAGCTGATACATATTTCATGATGCTGTAATAAATCTTGCACATGATTAACTTTAAAAAAAATTCCAATAATGAGTCAAAGCAGCTTTCTCTTTAATTTATAAATGTAATATGAGACAACTAAAGGTGTAAGACTATTGAAAATCCAGAAATTACAAATGGGTTCATTTATGGTGGAAACGAGGTTCTCATGGTGGTGACTATTATCTCCTGGGATATGATGCACTGTGTTCTGCTTGGTTTTTGTTTTGTGCTTGGCATGCTTTTTGAACCTTAAGTTGGAGGCAGCTTGTTTTTCCAAAATGTTCGTGAACTTCGACCGGGCTACACAGCATCACATACCAGAAGACGGTACTCTTCAAGGTTCATTTGTGACTCTCATTACTCTATGAGAATGCAAAGAACTATAATCAAACTTGCAGTGAATGCTACTTATTTTTCATCACACATTCCAAGACAACATGCACAGAGGTTATTCCCATGGCTGCCATTAAGTATTTAGTCTTTCATGAACATATAGAATTATGTAACCAGTTTGGCTGTAGACTTTCTCCTAGCCTGCCATGTGTTTCATGTGATGTAAGTTAAATAAGTAATATGTTCTTAAACATAGATTCCCACATGTTCACATAGTCACTGTCCATTTATTTCAGAATGAACAAAATCACTTCTAAAAACTGACACTTCTAATAAGTTTCTTGGGAAGTTTATGCCTTCAGTTTGAGGAACATGATCACTGAAGAATTCTCAATGACATTTTGGAATGTGTCAGACTGTTATAACAGATTATGAATAAGGTGTATTTCAAACACTGGTCTAGCAGACCATGATGTAACATTTCCAAGAAATAAACAAAGATGCTGCAAAATATAGTTGTATAGTTCTGAGGCTCATGTATGTTAGTAGGCGTGAAGGTTAGGAATATGTTGTGTTAATGGTGCGCTGTAAGAATGTTAAATTTGGTGTTACACAGTTTTAAAATGTGGTCTTATAAGAGTGGCCTTTAACAGTATCGTGATGGATGATATTTCTAACTAAAGCATAAGAGTAATTCGTGCAATAACTATCTTTGTATTTATTTACACTCACTTAAAAGGATAAAATCTTCACTAGAATTTTGTATATATAATATGGCTGGCATGATGGTGAAGTGTATGTGGATGATATTTTCATTACACAAGTCAGACAGGTGTAAATATCTGTTGGTTTTTTTACATACTTGAATAAAGATTTAGCCTACACCAGCAATAATGGTTATTGATTATGATGATGATGATCCCCTATTCTTTTCAATGGCAACATATCTTTTTTTGTCACAAATTTGAATATGTCATTTAATTCTGAGAGTCATGAGCATAAGAGCATATTTATATTTATTCTTAAGAAGCTGAAAATAAGGCAACTTTAACTTTCTAAGAAGCAGTATTTGAAGAAAATCTCACCTTATATTTGGGCTAATATGGTATAATTTTATTCAGAGGAACCATTGCATTCTTATAGAAACAATCTTTAACAAAACTTAAAGGAGACAAAATATCAATGCTGTGGCCAACAAGGAGATGCAAGAGACTGTAATGTTGACTCCAGAAACAATGCAGAAGTATGAAGTAACTATTTGATTTGAGATTCTCACAGCAGTGATTTTGAGCAGTAGTATCTTCTTAGTTATGGCACCATGTAGTGTTTTACAAGTTCACTGATATTTCTGAGAAACATATCTTCAGGGTTGAAGAATAAGCCAAGCAAACAGAGAGATTGCTTACTATTTGCTTGTTGCTTGTTGTATGTAGTCTCTGATCCTGAAGATGGAGGCAGTTCATCTCTCTAAATATTTCAGTAAACTTTACTAGATTACATGGCATCACATCCAAGAAGATAGTACTCTTTAAACTCAAACTGATTGTATTTTTAGTGTTCACAATGTTTCAGTAAAGTGATTATCTCCACAGTGACATAAAGAAATTGTGCTCCCAGATAGCATTACCAACAGCGCACCCATGAATTAACAACTACCTGTTTTAATTGTTCTCGTTTGCATATCAGATAAATTCATAATATACACATTTTCGGTACCTATGTTATGAGCAGTAAGCAAAACTAAATCCTATATTATAATTCTTTGAATCATGTCAGAGTTTCATTTTCCTGTTCCATTCATACATTCATCTGTTCCTGCGTTTGCTCATTCACTCCTTTCTTTTTCTTCTTCTTCTTCTTCTTCTTCCTCATCTTCTTTTTGTTCCTCCACCTTTGACATATCCACTTTCGTGTGAGTTGTCAAATGTCTTCTTCCCAAAGCTTCTTCTCCTACTTTTCTTCCTATGTTGCCTTTCCTTTTGTGTAACCTCTTCCCCAACCAGTTTTTCATATCTTGACCTTGTCTTTTTCTTAGTCATTATGTTTCTAGATATTCAAAACCTTCTTTGGAATTCTCTTTTCTGTCATTCATAAAATGTCGTCCTGTTGTTTATTAATTTGTCTACATATCTAGTTATCTTTAAATTTTCTCTACATCCCTCACTTCTTGTTTTTTCCTTCTATACTTCTTAGAAATTCTATCTCATCTGCAATTACTCTACTAATATCTCTCTTTGTCCATGCTCATGTTTCTGTTCTGTATGTTAATATGGACCTGTACTAATTTTTAAATAAATACATTTTGCCTGACTTTTGCATTTCCCACTCCCAAAATTATATCCATAACTGGATGATAAGATTTTCATGCATTTTTATTGTTTCTGTTGTTACTTTTTTTACTATTCCATTTGTCAGTATTTTGCTTCCTAAGTATTCAAAACTTGCCACTTTATAGTAATTCCTTTTTTTTTCTGTCTCTCTCTCTTTTCATGTCTCCTTTCCTCTTGCTTATTTTCATGACCATGCATTTATCCACACTGATATTTAAACCAAAATTTTTACATTTATAAATTAGAACTGAGCCCAGTGGTCTGACAGTAATGATGTTCTAGACTTGTATTTGGGACACTGGCTATTCTGATTGATTTTTTCATTATATAATGTAGATTCGTAAAACATCATGAAATAAACCATGAACCTCACTGTAAATCTGAATTGGAACCAACATAAAACTTCAGAAAACGCTCATATAAGTACAGGGTGTTCAATCAAGGAGGAAACTTCACAACACCGTTGACAGAGCCCAATATTCCTCACAGATTGCTGCTGTAACTGTAACAACACATTATAAACGCCAATGACTCATTCTGCTATCAGCAGTTACAGTAGCAATATGTGAGGAGTGTTGGGCTGAGTCAGCAGTTTTGCGAAGTTTCCTCCTCAACTGAACGCACTGTATTATATATAAAGGAATCATGAGACAGTATATTTATTCTGCTCACACAGCAGGTCTTCTTTGTTGACCAATTTTCCTGGGTACTGTAAGGTTTATTTGAAAATATCACAAAATACTAAGGAAACAAAACCATGTACATATATATTCAGACTCAGGGAACATAACTGTATTTTAAAAATCCAACGTTCCAATTTAAAATTTAAGCATAAAAAAATTCAGTCATGTAAGTATTAACTTGTATTGGCCATACATGACCCAGCTGTGGCAATGCATGCACTGGATTAGCTAGCTCCACCAGGCCTGGTGTCATATTTTTTGCAATATAAACTCCATTAGTGCCAAGTTTAAATTTTGTCAGTGCCATCATAGAAAATGAAATACAGTCAATAAAGGTCAATTTTTTGGAATGTTTAAGTCAATACAGCCCACAGATCAGACAGTTACATTTTCCATTAATGAAACTACAAAAGTAATCTTTTTGGTTTATGTAACATGCAGTTAATTGGTATAAGTGTGTCAGTGAAGAGGAAAACATATCCTTGTTCTATTGTACATCAGTGAAGTAAAGACAGGGCTGTGTCCCATATGAAGAGGTACTACAAATATAACATAAAAGTGCTGTTAATAATAAGAAATGTTCTGTTGTGTGAGGGAAGCTACTTAAGTACATAATGAAAACTTTCTCGTTTTCTTTACAGTTCAGTGTAGGTATATAATTTCTTTTAGTGCCACAAATGATAGACTGGTATAATTACTTCTTTCTGATTTTATAAAGCATTGTGTACAACTCTTTCATACCTTTTCTAGGAGAGTGGACATAAAAAGAATTGCTCTTATTTTCACCTTTCATTTTATTCCTTTCCCTGTCCCCTCTTTAACTTTATCATCCTTTCTTTCCACACACTTTTTCATAACTTCCTTCATCTCTTAATTTTCTTTGCTTGCTGTCCTCCAACTTTCTGTTCTACATCTGCTCATTCATCTTCCTACTCATCTCTTCTCCCACTTCTTGTGCTCTTTTCCCATTCCTTCCTACCCCTCCTTTTCCTCCTCCATATTCCCCACCTTATCTCCTTTTTCTTATTCTCTTTTTCATTATCCAGGGCTGGAAATGGAGATAGACACAGGTGGATGCTATGTATATAATTCCCAAGTGCACTTTTTTTTTTTCTTAACAAGTGCCTTACAGTGTTGTAAATATTATTCCTAATAGTGACATGTAGGAAGGAATTCCTGAACATCTACTGTGAAGATGTCCTTTATACTATATGCTGGTCATTTCCAAGGCTCTTCTGCTGACTTCGAGCATCTGTGTAGTTCTGTGGAGCCATTTTCATCCCTGTATTTTCCTTTCTCTTTTCCATTATCCTTACCACACAACTTTCAGGGTCTAAGAGGGAAAGGAATGTAGTTTCAGACCTCGTTACGGCATTCCATAATTTGGTTGTGTAGCACTTTCCTGCCATGTGCTGCTTAACAAATCTCCTATGTCAAGTTTCTGTTACTGTAGGCTTTGTATGGGCCAGGTTGTATGATTTAATAATACATGTCCACAATACAGAAAATTTTACATTTATTTGTTTCTTTATAATGTGCAATGGATCTGCATCTAATGCTAAAAATAGAGACTGAAGAGGTTATGATGCAGATTGAATTTTTCAGTGTTTGGTGCTCCATATGGCTTATATGATGCAGGTTATACATTGTAGACTTGATCTGTGTAACATCTGAATCATTACTATGTGATATAACCTTAATTTAATTAAAACCCACGATCTTTAGATACTATATCAACAGATTTTTTTGTCTTCAATTTGTACAGTCCTTTTACACAATCTTTAATATTATGTCAGTCCAAAACATCTTTGGAGGTGTGTCATTATTAGATAGTCACATAGATTATTTCACCATCATTAGAAAGTAACTAGACTCCATTTGCATCATACAATGAGAAACAAAATAACCATACAGGAGAGGTGAACATACAGGAATTTTCATTCATAAAGTTCCGTTGTTGATGTATGACATTGCCTCAGAGATGTTTTAGGCAGAGTGTATGAACTATTCATTTTATTACTTATCTGTTAATGTCTTGGTGTGATATTACTGTGTTATTTGTTTTTCATGGTGAAGAAAATGAAGATTATTCTAAGGTTGTGTACATTTCCTTACAGCAATTGAATTTATGCTCAGAATTGTCATTTTATAAAATAAAAATAATCCTTGATTGAAAATAAAGCATCTTTCAACTAAATGAGATCTAAAGTTCTTGTGGCAATGTTTCTGGGGTGCACTGTTGTGTAAACTGGTGAAAGTTTACCAGTGAATAGGAGAAAAATATTGCCTCCATCTTCATGGTAAAATAATAAGCTGAGCAGACAGCAAGCAAGCAACTTACTTTTGTGTGCTCTGTATACTCTTCAGCCATGAAGTTAACACATTCCTCCAGAGCATCAGTGAACTTCTGCCAGACTACACAGTGTTAAGAGCAAGTGTAGGAAATAACAAGAAGCAAGATAATTGCTTGCACGTCTTTATTTTTTACCCTGAAGATGGGGGGTGTGTGTGTTTCTCTGAAATGTCTGTTAACTTGTACTAGACTACATAACAGACATCACATCCCAGAAGACAACAGTCTTTATTTTCAAACTAGTTGTAGACAGTTCTCATGTCCATGTTGAATTCTGAAACTGATGACTTAGATGTTATGATCTTCTTCATGAGTGCAGGTTTGTGTATGAACGACACTGAATGCATCTCATCAGGTTCAGAACTGGTTTGTCATGTTATCAGGAGGAGCAAAGAATGGGTTTTACAATGAATAAACTCAAAGCTTGATCCATGGAAATAGTTTTTTCTTTAAATTTTGTTTTATCAGTTCTGTGAACAGCTTAGTTGATTGAATAATTAAACATAAATATATCTGAATTAAACTGTTTAAGTTACAAGATTCTTGAATAAACTTGGTAATATAATAAGGGTCAAAATTGTACCTCAAATTGGACTACACATATTTCTCCAAATGCAATCTTTGCAGTTGGACATATATCATTGGCCTTTATGCTTATTTATTATTGACACAAAACTTTAAAATTTCACTTTTGTGTCATTAAATGTGTACTTAACTATTTTAAATTTTGTATGATATATCTCTCATAAAATAAGATGAACTTCTTTTCTTCAACAGTCTTTTCTTATTTATCTCCTTCATTGCCATGTCCTACTACTCTTCATGCAATATGATATTTAAATACTGCAAATGTAGTGAATCACTTTATGTCTGATATCATTTCAATTAAAGTTACTTCATTTATCATTATCAATTTTTGGTTTATTCCAAAAAATTATGTTATGTTGTTATAATTTTCCTTCTGTCATTATCCTTTTCAGTATTATGCTTTTCTTTCTGTGGGTTACTTTATGATGCTGTCAGTAACTGGACAGTTTTGAATGGCAGGGTATTTGGTGATTCATCTACATTTATAAACAATAACTGCATTGAAGAATATAGTCTTCAGGGTTGTAATGTTGTGTAGTTCAGAGAAACATGTCATGTGCACTTTCAGGGTTAAAGATCAGAGCTTGCCACCTGCTTCTCTTGGCTTGTTTTCTTTGGTCTAGTAATTTTGAGTATCCTTCATCGAACCATGGCTTATGCTTCTTCAGTTCACACAATGTAACAGTTATGGATGTTAAATAAATCAATCAATCAATCAATAACCTAGACTCTCCTTGGCAGAAATTTTGATATTCTCTCTAATAGTTTCCCAAGCTGTATTAACATTCACATCAGTGTCAAAGTTTTCCAAGGTCGCGAACCTATTTGAGATTTCAACGTGATACTTCTCTTTACCCTCTTTACATACTTACTCATGGAACTGAGCCATTCTGGAGGAGCTGCCAATTCTGCAGCTACTCAAGAAAATCCCAGCCTTTATGGAACCCGAAGGTTCATTGCCGTGTTCACAAGAGCCCTCCACTGGTCCCTATCCTGAGCCAGATCAGTCCAATCCATACCATCCCATCTCATCTCTCTAAGATCCATTTTAATATTGTCCACCCACCTACACCTTGGTCTTCCCAGTGGTCTCTTTCCTTCTGGCTTTCCCACCAATGTCCTATACGCTTCCTATCTTTACCCTCCCTCTACCTCATTTAATTTCTTTGGATTGAACCTCTCCATATGAACTCTGTGTGTTGTTTGTTTGCTCACTGCCAGTCTTTCCCTAACCCTTGCCACCACCAGGTAGTGGTCAGTATCACAATCTGCTGCCCTGAATGATCGGACGTCAAGTATACTTGAATGCCATCTCCTATCTATCAAAATATGGTTGATTTGAGTGTGTATCTTCCCATCAGGAGATGTCCAAGTAAATTTATGGATGTTATGATGTGGGAACATTTTACTTTTGATAGTAAGATTTTTTTGGTGCAGCAAAGTTCACTACTCTAACTCCTCCATTATCATTACTAATTTCATGCAAACTCTCATTGATCCACCTAACATGGACAGTAAAGAATAAAATTGTATATGATAACACTAGAACTAATGAAGAAATTTTTGCTATTCCTAAACCTTGTGCTTAAAATCTAATCTTGACTGACTGAAATAAGTGTCATAATCAAAGGGTGTCCAGAGTGACGACTAGATTGTTTTCAAGTCAAGTATCAGATCTACTAAAATGCGGATGTTTATTCATCCCAACAGTGAACAATACAGTTACTGACAGTCATATGCAGAATTCCTTAGGAGTAAGCCTCAGACCTTCAGTTCTATGGTACAATCCCCACAATCTGTTAGTAGTGGTCAGAATGTTGTTCCTGGCATTCATGTAGGGAAATACAGAGATTTTGTCATAGCTATGAACTGCAATGTCAACAATGAAGAAGGCAGTAGGAAATACAGGAGACTGAGGAATGAATTGAAAAGAGCCACGGACAGGGCCAAAAAGGAATATCTTGAGAAGATATGTAATGAGATTATAGAATTTCAAAGAACAAGACGTTATGATTTGATGTACATGATGACAAAAGAACTAGGATGGAAAGAGAATCATGGGATTCAAAATATTGGCATCGAAGACTCCCAGGGGAATAGAATAGTAGATCAGAGGAAAGTGCTGAAAATTTGGGAAAATTATATTACAGAACTATATGATCGACCTAATCGGCCAGAAACCTTAGAAGTTGAACCGGAAGAAGTAGATACAGACGAGAAAGGACCATATATTTTACAAAGTGAGGTGGAAAAAGCTATCAAGGAAATGAGGAAGGGAAAGGCTACAGGAGATGATGATGTACCTGGAGATGTGCTCAAGTTACTGGGAGAAGGTGGTTTGAAAACACTGACAAAACTAATGAACACCATATATGAAAGTGGAGAGTGGCCCAAGGACTTTACAGAAGTTACAATGATTGCCTTAAAGAAAAAGACAAAAGCTACAAAATGCAGCGACCATCGCACAATAAGTCTTATTGCACATACAGCAAAGATAATAGCAAAGATACTTAAAAGAAGAATTGAAAGGAAAATAGAGGATGTACTTGGAGAAGATCAGTTTGGATTTAGAAGAGGAAAAGGAACCAGGGATGCAATTGGGATGATGAGAATTATAGCGGAACGAACTTTGGAGATAGATGAAGAACTGTGTGTTTGCTTCATAGACTGGCAGAAGGCATTTGACCGGGTAAACTGGACCAAATTAATGCAGATCCTGAAAGAAACAGGTATCGATTGGCATGAAAGAAGATTGATTAGCAAATTGTACATGGATCAGAAAGTTAGAGTACGACTGGACAGGGGGGAGACAGGAAGTGTGCAGATTGGAAGAGGAGTTCGACAAGGATGCTGTTTATCACCAATTCTGTTCAACTTGTACAGCGAATGCCTTACCAAGGAAGCTCTGGATGGGCTCGGTGACTTCAAAGTAGGAGGGCAAATTATTCAAACTGTGAAATATGCAGATGACCTTGTGTTAATGGCTAAGGAAGAAACTGTGCTACAGGGCATGATTGATAGACTAATTGAAATTGGAAGGTGCTATGGCATGGAAATGAATGTGGAGAAAACAAAAGTAATGAAAATTTCGAGACAACCAACCCCAGTCACAATAAAGATAGACCAAAAACAACTGGAGAATGTGAAATGTTTTAAATATTTGGGTAGCTTGTTAACAGATGATGGAAGGTGTACTAGTGAAATTAAATCCGGGATTGCCATGGCAAAAGCTGCATTTAGCAAGAAGAAGAATCTTTTTAGCAGCAAATTGGACTTAAATTTGAGGAAGAAACTAGTGAAATGCTACATTTGGAGCATAGCTCTGCATGGGGCTGAAACAGGGACACTTAAGGCAGTAGATCAGAAACATCTGAAAAGTTTCGAAATGTGGTGTTGGAGAAGGATGGAGAAGATCAGTTGGACCGATTATGTGAGAAATGAAGAAGTGTTAATTAGAGTCAGTGAGCAGAGGAATATCCTACATGAAATAAGAAAATGGAAGGCTAATTGGATTGGTCATGTTTTACGCATAAAGTGCCTTCTAAAAGAAGTTATTGAAGGAAAGATAGAGGGGCGGGTAGAAGTGACAAGAAGACGAAGAAGATGTAAGATGATGCTGGATGACCTTGGGGACAGAAGAGGATACTGTCATTTGAAGGAGAAAGCTCTAGATCACATTAAGTGGAGGAACTGTTTTGGAAGAGGCTGTGGACCTGTTGTCTGACAGATTACTGATGATGATGAACTGTATCACTGGGCAAGGGAACACAGCAAGTACAACACCAGAAAACGTGGTGGTGTTCAACAGTGAATTGTAACAGTATTTACTGAATCACAGGTTTAATTTAACTAACTTAATGGAGCTAAGCCCTTCTTGAGAAGCCTCCAGTTGTGCAGCAATTCGAGAACTACCCCTAATTTTATGGAACCCTTAGATTCATTACCATGTTCACAAAATTCCTTCACTATTCCCTATCCTGTGCCAGAACAATCCAGTCCATGCCACCCCATCCTATCTAAGATCCATTTTAATATTATCCATCCACCTACGTCTTAGTCTTCCTTGTGGTCTCTTTCTTTCAAGCTTTCCCACCAATATCCTATACGCATTCCTCTTCGCCCCCATTCGTAAGATTTATTTTAAAGAACTTAGCGAATGGGACGTGTTAAGTTGCGATAACGTAGTTCTTTCTCTGGCTTCAGTGGACGTTAAGAAGTATAATTTAAGTCCCTCCATAGTACTTGAACACATTTATTCTATTTTACAATGATATATTGCATGCATGGATCATTTCAAGAAACGGTAAACACAATGACGCTAATTTCCACCTTAATTTTTATTTTGTGGACGTTCGTGTGTGCCACATAATTATGACGATTGACACATACTATTTCCCACACCTCTAAAACCTCCATACGCTCCATACATCTGTGGCCCATGCCCAATAGTGGTATTCTATGGAATCGGAAATTCAAATACCTTGTATGTGGCGGCATCTTTTGATAATAACGAAAAATAATATACGGTTTGTCGTTTGTCACCTTTTTGTGTTGCAGAGTAGATGTAATGGCTTCCCAAAGTAATTAATGGATGAATAATTAACAATCATATTGCGGGTATTGATCCTGATTATTTTGAAGTTATGTGTTACTGTGAGTGTCATTAAGAGTGAAGCCATCCAACATACTGCTTACTGAACTTCAGTCTTATCAGCCAGGTGAGAATGAATTAGATTCTGAATTATAATTGGGCGTTCTATGTGATATTTTCTAATTAAGAAAACATTGTATAAATCACTGCTCTGTGCTGTATACTGTTTCACGAAGGCGCTTGACATGCCACATAGAAGAAATCTGCGCCATATATCTATTGAAAGTGGGGTTAAGGCAGTCGTAACAGTATAAAGTGGCGTATATAATTCATGATTTTCAAGCGAGTACCGCGATTCCTGTTCACAACACTTTTTCTTATTTATTCGTTTGAAATAACCAAATATAGTGCGATTTTAATGAACATATTCGTTACTTTATATAGTGTCATTATTGAAAGTATGTAGTTATTTTCAGGACTTCATTGAATTTTGTTTTGCAATGAACTTGGAACTAAAAATCATCTATAGTTGTCAGGCTTTATTTTGTATCGGTTCTGATACATTACTTGTTACATTTTTTTGGCTTTTGTATACTGTGTCAATTTTTTAATTTTAAAAATGATGCTTTTATCATAGTTGAAGGAACCAAGAATCTTACAGATTTGTATTAACTTCATGAATAGAAATCGTGTTTCATTTAACTGCTTTGTTATAGGAATTGTACTGAGGCCTAAGAACTGTGAATAGTAGCAATGTACTTGTATTACTGTTTTAATTATCAGTTCTTGGTTTTAATTAAGCAGTCTTCTGTATGTTATTTGTACTTGGGATTATAAATAGTTCAACTTCTCTTTCAAGTTTAAGACAAATATAAAATGAACTGCAAATAAATGTTACTGTGTAATAAAATTGTAATTTGTGCCACATGTGATTATATCAGTATATGATGTTACATACATTTGGCCTCTGTGAACATCAAGCCACTCCATGCAATCTTTAACACTTGCACCAGTGAATGTTTTTAGGAGGTTAAAAGGTGCTTTGGTATGTTGTAAGCCATTGTAAATAGAAAATTAACTGGCTGGTCAAATTGTGCTGGGCTAAATAAGTTGGGCCCAGTAATCAGATATCTTGACTTACAGTCACAGCTTACCACTTAACAAAATGAAATTATCAGTAGCCTCACTGTATGTCTCAGACACAGTTTTATATCAAGTATTTAAAAGCTCTGGATCAGGGGTCTATATTAAAGCAACTAAACAAGAATAATCTTACAATTCCTAATAAATCATATAAAAGCTATCCCAATATCAGGCCATGGAGGCTCCCACATCTTCTAGACAGTCAGCTCAGAGATGGTGGTGAGGTCAAGTAAAGCTATCCCTGTAAGAGGCCGTGGAGGCCCAAAGGGTTGTGAGACATAGAGGCTCCCATAACTTCTAGACAGTCGGCTCACAGATGGTGGTGAGGTTAAGTAAAGCTATCGTTGTAACAGGCCGTGGATGGCCAAAGGGTTGTGAGACATAGAGGCTCCCACATTTTGTAGACAATCAGCTCACAGAGGGCGGTGAGGTTAAATAAAGCTATCCCTGTAAGAGTCCGTGGAGGCCCATAGGGCTGTGAGACATCGAGGCTCCCACATTTTCTACACAGTTAGCTCACAGATGGTGGTGAGGTTAAGTAAAGCTATTCCTGCAACAGGCCATGGACATGCATATGGTTTTGAGATGCCAAGGCTCCCACATTTTGTAGACAGTCAGCTCACTGATGGTGGTGAGGTTAAATAAAGCTATCCCTGTAACAGACTGTGGAGGCCCATAGGGTTATGAGACATAGAAGGTCGCACACTTTCTATACAGTCGGCTCACACATAGTGAGGTTAAGTAAAGCTATCCCTGTAACAGGCTGTGGAGGCGCATAGGGTTGTGAGACGTCGAGGCTCCCACATTTTCTAGACAGCTCACAGATGGTGGTGAGGATAATTAAAGCTACCCCTGTAACAGGCCATGGAGGCCCATCGATTTGTGAGACATCGAGCCTCCCACATTTTCTAGAGAGTTGGCTCACAGATGGTGATGAGGTGAAGTAAAACTAGCCCTGTAACAGGCCATAGAGGCCCATAGGATTGTGAGACATCGAGGCTCCCACATTTTCTAGACCATCTGCAGTGAGGTTGTCAGCCCTACACATCAGCCACCCTTTACACCCAGGAAGATTCCCGTTATTCATTCCTGTTAGAGGCTGAGTCAAACACGGCCAAAGTGCAGCTGGAAGAAATCGGTCACCTGAAAAATCCAGTGACCTCATTGGGAATCGAACCCATGACCTTCCAGCATGTAGCATAGTAATAATTCATATGTTAATCATATTTTTAATGCATTTGTACCAGCGGATGAGGTGGCTTTTCAGAACTAGATGGACACTCTGGGCTAGTAGAAAACTCTGAAGGAGTGATGAAAGGGAATTGTTACAGTGTGGGTTCATGAAATTTTTCCTACATGTTTTATTGTTTGGAATAATAGTCTTGATATCTGAAGGCAGTGGAAATAATATCCTCAAAATTAAGTGATCTGGAACTCAGTAGACAGTGTGGCTACACCTCTTTCCACTGATTTCGGCTGAGGGGAGACATTTACCCAATTGCCTTAACTGACACCTAGCAAGAGGAAGAACATATTTGTGGAGCCCCTCAAGAACCATAAGTAAAGCTGAATTCAGTCAGAGGTTAAGAGTGTGTGAGGCATCATTTCATCCTTTGTACTGCAAAATTTCTAGTGATTGTGATAAAATTAGGGGTTGGGTTTCATTGTTTTTCACTTATGTCCTTAGTCCAAAAGCGGTATCCAATCTGAATGACAGGGGGCGTTTTCACTTTGTGACTGAGTANGGGGCGTTTTTCCTTTGTTTCTGAGTAATTTTCTTCACTTTCCCCCCCCCCCCCAGGCTTACTGTTAATTAGCTGTTGCTTAGAAACAGAAATGATTCTTGTGTACAGAAATGTTTCATGAACTGGTGAGCATAAAGGTGATTATTTCTGAGAGAAATTTTTATTTAAGATTTTGAGCTTAATGTAGACGGAAGCTTAGTTTCACACAGAAATGACTAATGATTCTATCTGTGGAGATATTGTGCCATGTTGTCTAGTCAAAGATCAGGCTTGTTTCTTGCTTCTTTTGCCCAATTTTCATCCATGAAGAAGGAGGCTGTGTGTTCCTCTGAACTATCAGACTACTCAGCATCACATCCCAGAAGATGGTACTTTTCAGAAGCTAATGTTAGTGAATGAATAATTATGATTTCATTTGATATGGATTTGTATGTGGATTTATTTAGGGCCCATTTTAAAACATTGATCCTGCTGTTGGAATGTCTGTAGGTAACCACTTATATGTCTGTGCATTAATATGTATCAGTAACTCTGGTAATAATATTCCATTTATAATAATTGTATTTCAGCATCCTGTTGCATTGGCGTATTGCTTTACACCCTTACTTCCGTCTTTAATGCTACTTTGTTTACAGTTTCTCCTTAATTTAAAATAATAATAAAATTACAATTAAACTGCTGCACATTTTGGCCTTACCTGGCCATCCTTAAAGTGATGTACACTCAACTAGAGCGACTGTGGGAACATACTAATGGGCACATAAAACAACGATAACAAGACCACACCAGTATTCATAGGGCTAAACAAAACAACACAAAAAACACAGATGCTGCAAGAAGAAGGTAGTGCAAGAAAAGATAAAAATGATGTTCTCAAGTAAATGTATTTTAATGTGAACGACAAAAATGTGATAATATTGGAATATTTTAACTTAAGAACTAATGCAGTGTAGCAGTGTCTACAAATGAACAGTTGCCTGAGGATGGCCAAGTAAGGCCAAAACATGTAGCAGTTTAATTGTAATTTTAATATTATTTTATATTAAGTAGAAATTTAAACAAAGTTGTATTAAAGCCAGAAGTAAGTTTGTGAAGTCATTTCATTTATATCATTTTATTTACTAAAAGACATAATTTCTTCCTTTGGCCACATTTAATCAATTCTGTGCAGATGCAGGTCTTGGATACTATATGTGGATTATTCTAGCTGAGTTGTATTTGTTCCTTCTCGGAAGGTGAAGAATCGTGTTCAGATCCATTTGTATTGTAACAGGTCAAGGAGGAGAAAGGAAAGTAGAAGAGACAAAATATTATAGTTTTAAATCACATGAACTCAAATAACGTAACCAAACCTAAGTTGATACATTTCATATATAAACAGAAGGGGGACTGAGAGGAACCAGTTTTTTAGTTTGGTCTTGTGTATGCTTTGGGAGCTGGGATAGTGTAGTTGGTATAATGACTGACTGCAGGCTGGTCGACCTGATGGGATCGGAATTCAAGCCCCAGTAGGGTCAAGAATCTTCTCTTCTTCACGTCGCCCCAGACCTACTCTGGGGCCTACCTAGCCTCCTATTGCGTGGGTACTGGGGGTTCTTTTCCCAGGGGTAAAGTGGCTGGGGCACGAAGCTGACCACTCACTCCAACTAGTGCCTAGGTCAAGAAAATGTGGCTCTGTACATGCACTCCCCCAAATGCTTTCATGGCGTAGTGTTAAGCGCAGGGACAACTTTACCTTTTTACCTTGTGTATGCATTACAACAACAAACCAGAGCTTTATCAGTTATCATTTTGTTAAGTCACATATGTACATGATGTGTGACTTAACTACTCTGGCAAGCATTAGATTTGAGGTTCTCACAGTGGAGAATATTATTATTATGGTCGTCTCAGGTATGACTCTGTAGACTGATTCGTCAATCCTGAAAATGGAATGAGCAGGTTCCCCTGAAACATTGGTACCTATCTACCAGGCTGTATGGTGCCATATCCCAGAAGTCACTATTTTTACCCATTTTAAAAGTATTTACTCTTGTCTAAAGCAAAGTAAGCTAGGCAAAATTTTAATATTAGAATGGCTTTAGTACAAAAAACAAACTCCATTGATGAGGCTGTTGAACATTTTTACTTCCAACACCTGTTCCAGTGCACTATGCTACAAGCTGGAAAGTCATGGGTTTGATTCCTGATGAGGTCATTGGATTTTTCAATTGGCATAAACCTTTCAACTACACTATGG